CCTGAAACCACACTCGTCTAGCCCTGCTGCATGCAAGCTTGTACCAAGAAAACCAAATAGCGCAAAGGTGCATGATTTAGTCACCCACTTCTTTGGTAATGCCAGTGACTCGGTGGTAGTCAACCACAGGAATGCCTAACATAATCTGGCACCTACTTTCGACTTTAAGGTGTTGTGCAAAAGTCTTAAGCCATCCCATATTACTTCATTTTTTTGCAAGGAAAACAGGAAATGGGTGTTTACTGAAACATGTGCAAACCTGCATGGAAATACAGTATATAAGGCAAAAACTGAGTTTTGAATAACTACCAAGTCTATTTTTCATATGACATATTTATTCTTCAGGGCAGTTTGAACTCAAGTATGCAGGTTTTGTGTAGTGTTCGGGAATAGTTCTCTGGGCTTCTTGGAAGATATTCAAAGCTGTACTTTGGATTTTGGTCTTTTGTTCTGTTCTCTGTCCAGATGTTCCCAGACTGCTTCAGTGATGAGGTCCGGGATCTATAGAGCCCAGTGCATTACTATTCCACTGTGTTCTGATACTGCTCTGACAGCGCGTTTGGTCTTGAAGACAAATGAAGTCAATCAAACACTTTCCCCATGCAACATGGCTAAAGTCCAGTAAATCTATGAGTTCTATCAATTTTGACAAGCTCTCCAACACCACTCGCTGAAATGCAGACCCAAACCATGACAGAGCCTCCACCGTGTGTTACAGATAAACTCTCCTGACCTGAACTAACACTCCATCAGACCCAACAATTTTCAGTCCACTTCTTGTGTAATTAGGCATACCTCAGCCTTTTCTCCCCGTTTCCCTTCAATAAGCTACCTGCCAGACACCCTTCCACTGAATTTCTAAGGAGGCTTCAGCGAGCAGTATGTGAATCAGCTGAAGAGCCTTCAAAAAGCCCGGAGAACTATTGCGACAAAGGCTTTTATTTTCTACTTAATGTTTGCACTGTTGAAATATCAGTTTAGCAATTTAAAAGCAACCTCCTGGCAAAGAGCCACCATCTTTCTAGAGTGTGTTTCTAACATTCACCACAACCTTGAGTCGGTTTCTCTGTTCAGAAGTGCTCAGCCGCTCTGAGTCCGAGGTTTCCCTCAAAATCCAAACAGTATGAGTCACTTTAAAGAGGAACCAGCTACTTTACACACTTCCATCACAATGAAAGTGAGAACATACAAAAAACCAAATCAGATTATCAAACTGATACGAAAACTGCCCTCCCTCTTAGAGTTAAAGAAAATAAAGTCTCAAAGTAAAGCGATCCATCGTATTAGTAACGCAGCGGTGGATCATTTTTCATGTAGTCTGATAGCAGGAGTGGCATTAAGGTGACTGGTAGTATAGGATGAGTATAAATGACAAAAATAAAGCAGAGAAGTCTCAGTGATATTTCCCTACAGACAGCCACCGAATACTGTTCAAGCTGATGTATATTCATTACACTATGGTTACTGGTTACTGATTTCTTTATCTAATGCGGCCATATGTAACTCAAGGGACATCTGTCTTACACGACGCAACGTTTGGGGCCACAGAAGACCTTAAATTTACTTTAAATGTGATCATAATTCAGAATACAAGTTCAGGCTTACCTTGTCGCAGTGCCCAACTGCTTCAGGATGCTCAGAGACTGCCGGAGCATGCTGGCAGCAGAGTCCAACCAGCCTTTCTACCCGACCTACCCACTCTTGATCGACTCAACGAGGTATCCTGTTAATTAAAAAAGAAAAAAAGTGGAGGAAAAGTCCACACAGGCTCCAGGCTGCGTTACTGCATCAGGAAGAGAAAGCACAGACAGGCTCTGCCTCTGCTTTGTCTGTTTTTTGTGTGTTTATGCATGCGTGTTTTGGCCTTCAGTTTTCGTTCTCGTTTCAGGAGCACGCTCTCAAGTCACGTCGAGCACAAGTCAGCGAATGAGGAAGTTGCACAGATGATATGCAGGCTGTGAGAGGGAAGAGAGATTTTTTTGTTGTTGTTGCATTGTCACACTATGATTTGACAGTCTAAAATGACACATGTGACGTGACAGAGAAGAATGAGCGGGACTGCGTAGGCATCATTTGACTTTTAACTACAGGAAAGGTTGATCCGCCTTTGCAGACGGATATCTCATGAGGAATAATTTGTGCAGCGCTGCGTTTGTTTGTTGCATCTTGTAATTAGAATGATGCTCGCCCACTTAAAATAGGCTTCAGGCACGGCTGTGGTTAATGTGTAGTTCTGTAAACTAAGGTAAAAAGGATGTGAAATGGCCAAAAGAGGAAACTGAGCTGCTGTTTGTAACATTTTTTTCCTGTCAGCTTAAAAGTTATTTCCATTTTAATGAGTCCACTCTATTCCTCTTTAAAAATCTGGGCATTTTAATTTTTGCTTCAGGTAGTCTGCTTCCTTTGCGGTTAACATTTTTAGATCTTTTGGATTTTTTTGGTTGTTGTTGTTTTGTAAACACAGCACTGACTTTCTGCAGTCTCTTTAAATTTAGCGTCAAATAAGCGCTTTTAATCGTGTCTGAAGTTACTTTACTCATCCTTTTAGCTCCGTTTCTGGATTCGAGAACCATTCTTATAATTTGGGATTTATTGTTCTTAAATTTATGGTGATTGCAAATCATGTCTCCATTCATGGCACATGGATGTTTTTATTCTTCTTGTTTCACTTTGACTTTAGATTTAGGCAAGCAGTCACAAAGGGCTCTACCCTTCCTGTTTGGGCTCAGACACTCTTAGTACGAAATCTGTTACCAAAAGCAAAAACTACAGTAAGGACACGTTAATCCCATGAATTAACTAGAAATGAATAATGATGCCTTTAAAAAAATTAAACATTACTGTACTTGTTGTTTCCACTTAAAACATCACTTTAAAGTTTGTAGATCAACATTGCGATTTTAACGAAATGCACTTCATAACTCAATTAGGAGGCACATGAAATCAGCTTATCACAGCCATTATGTTTTTCTGATGTTATTTTGTGATATTATTCTGTTACTTGTGTAGTGTTTTGCAAACAGTAGATAAATGATCTTTATTTTCTTTCGCTGGGGGTTAAAAACTGCACGTGTAGGATTTGCAGTGAAATGCAATACGCTTAAAAATGTTGCTATATTTTGCTCCAAAATACCTTCCAGGAGGGAGCTATGACAGTTCTCCCTTTGGATCACGGTGAAATGGCACCTGAGCTTTATTTCCAGATTTTATTCTTCTTTTTTCTTTCAGCATTGACACTAAATCGATCAGAGGGTGCAAGTGAGATTGAACCAGCCCTCAACTGCCACGTGCTACAGCCTGGTGGCAGCATTGTCAAAATGCACATGACAAACAAACTGAGTCTTTATTTTTAGCAGTTTCCTGACCATTTCTTTTGGCTTCGAGTCAAATTACATTTCTGCAACACTGGGTTTCATACAGCACTGCGCAAACATTTTGAGCAACCCCTCGCTCCACACCAGACTTTTTTGGTTTTTTGGTCATGCTTTAAGGCAACCTTGAGTAGTAACTCAGCTCAAAGAATAAACTAGTGTTGTGTCTGCATATGAAGTATGATATTTAAGTTGTATCTTTAGGTATTTTGTTACTAACAACCTATCAGGAAAAAAATTAAAGAAACATTTTTTCAATTTTTTAGCTGAAGCCATGAAAAATACCAAAGATAACACAGTTTAACAGGTATAATACAGTAAAATATAACTCAGGAGACGTATAGTCTGTGTCTAAAACCATCTGAAAAACGAGGATGCTCTGTTGTGGTTCGGGGTTGCATTTAAGCTGATTTTGAGGATCCTGTCAAAATTGATGGAATTCTTGATGCAAAAAAGCACCATTTGATTTTGATTCATGATGCAACACCATACAGAAAGTGTCTTGATTGGTAACAGCTTAATTTTTCAGTATGACAATGATCCCAAACACACAGACAATGGAGCACTATAAGTCATGGATTGGTCGCCCCAGAGTCCAGACCTCGACATTATCGATGTAGTGTGGGATCATCTTGACAAACAGCAGAACAAAGACCTTTGAATGTCCTTCAAGAAACCTGGAGATCTATTCCTGAAGACTACTTAAAGAAATGACAAGAAAAGTGCCTGAGAGTTCAGGATGTGTTGAAGAATAAAGGCACTCACCCCGAATACTGATTTTCAAGCTCGTTAGAATTGTATAAACTGTTTTGCCTCATTTACTGCATTTATTTTTGCATATTATATTTAATCACTGCACCCATTTACCTATTATCATATATACGTTTTCAATTAGGAGTGGCTTGAGACGTTTGTACGGAACTGGACATAGTTTGGCATCTGGCACAAGTGCGCTATTACTTTCAGGCCAATCCAAATTAATCTGTTTATCAGAACAACATGTTTTACCGTGTTAGGTGAGCAGATGAAACAGTCCAATGCTTGCAGTTTAAATTAGATGCAGCAACCCAGCTGATCAGTTTATTGTTTCAAATCACTTCAAATACATGAGGGAAAACATCTCTTACACCTCGTGGTTTCAACAGTTTGTCCAGTGAACATCGTAGAAAACACCATAATTTTGTTCAAGACAATTTCCAACTCACCACATAATGATCAATTTATTATGTTCACCTGTTCAGTCTAGACAATTCAGCTGCCCTGCAGAAAATCCTCTTTGTGAAGTTAATAACATTCGGGGTTTTTTTTGCTCCGTGAGAGGAGCCGGGCCATCATCTGGAAGCTGTTTTTAGAGGTGCTTAAGTATATAAGTGCATTACTGCTGAGTGGTAATGTACCTAAGAAAGTATGTGTATGTTAACTGTAGCACTTTACCTACAGAAGAAAAAACAGTGAGCTGGTGTCATGTAAACTTTAACAAGGCGACAAAAGACACACTCTGCTACAGAAATACAGAAGCTGTCACTAGAAACAGCGTAAGGCCAAAAATACTGAGGATGTTTCAGATTAAACTTTTAAATACAGATACATCA